TTCCATATTTTGCGGTACCTATTTCAAGTAGACAAGTTTTTGGGGACCACTAGCATAAATTTTTTTTTAAGTTTTCATCTAATATATAGTGACCTAGTTTTCTATCCTCTAGAAGTGCAACACATGCAATATTTTTGCTGAAATATAACGAGTAGGGTATGCTTCTGCTTTATTATAACCCATATGATGCTCTTCTTCTGTAACAGGGGCATGATAAATATTGGACTGAAGCGGTATGACAAAGCTTTAGAGTGTCTTCATAACGTGCGTAAAGAGAATAAATCGTGTTTTCTTATATTTGTTTGTCTATCTAGGTGATAATGAAATTCCATTTACAGGTTATCACTGCTCCAATGTCCACTTTAAACGCAATAGCTGTTGAAGCATACAAGAAGTATATTTTGGTTTCACTAATTCACAATGGGCAGGTTTGGTTTCTTCTTTCATCCGTTTTTATCGAAATAAAGTGTTCTTTGATGTTTACATGGACTTCCTTGCGAAATTGGGTTTTCGATAGTTAATTCTGACGCACCTACTCATAGGTTGGCACAAGGCAAAATTTACTGGTTTTCAATAAGCAGGATTTGTTGATAAATTACCATTTTAGACACTATGCAGTCTCTTATTTTTCTCCCATTCTTGGTACTTGTACACACATGCACACGCGTGTAATCATTGAGTTGACTTTAAATATGTTGTTTCTTTATTAGAAAATAGTCTAAAAATGGATGTAGGTAATGCATTATTTATGAACAGATCTATCTACCAAGTGAGCATAACACTTCTATTCTGGGAGGTTTTCTTTTCAAATCTCCTCACGTGTAATAGTGTGGGCTTGTTTCAAATTGAAAATTCAGGAATACATGTTTGATGACTTATTATTCAGTTACTCAATTTCACAGTGCATGGAGGCTAAATAGAGCTTCATGGAAGCTCTTTGCCATCTATGCTTGTATCAAGACCAGTTGGAATATGTAAGGCATAATTCTTTCCTTTAAGATAGTGCCTTCTCCCTCCGTAGTATTGAGGCTTCCTTCTCCTCCAAGTGCTTCCATCCCCCCTTATCATCTTCCTTCTCTCTTATGATGTAGCCTATGAGCATTTCTCTGGAAGAAAAAGGCAACTCTTATTTTTTGGACTCCAAAATTATTCAAGTATAAAATTTGCATCGATTAAATTACTCATCTCATATCTATCTTATTCTGTGTAATGAGTGAATGTAGTAAACTCTTTGGGATTTTTCATGGTTCACCAATATTCTTGTAATAATTAATATCAATTTAACAGAGTCTATAAAACTCGTGGAGAAGATGATTATGCATTTAAGCAGTAGCATTTTTGTTACAACATTGAAGAATGCTGGGATGAGTTTTTATGCATTTGGCAAAATGATAAGTTTGCTTATATTTATTTGGCACTGTTCAATTGTTCTTTCCACCTTTTGCCGATATAAAAAAATATGGGCCTCACCACTCTATTTTTTGGTAGCTCATTTTAGCAAAATGAGCCGCCACTTCATACCCATTATCCCCCCCCTCTCTCTCTCTAATATATATATAATATTATATTATATATATATATATATATATATATATATTATAGTATATATATATATTATATTATATAATATATATATAAGAAATTCATTTCTTACTTGTTAGATATCTAAATCGTACAAGGAAGTGATAAATTTATGTTTTCAGGGTATTTTAGATAGACATATAACTGATATTAAAAAATTAAGTGTAAATATGACATACCACTGTGCTAAAGCTAAAGGTGTGAAGAAAACTTGCCTGGAAACACGGTGTGTTTAAATGAAGTCATGAACATGCAGAGGAAAAAGCTGAACCAATTGCACAAGCTAAATTATTAGTGCACATATCTTGATTTGCAAGTGAACGAGTTCAAATATTTCCTTGACTTCATAATATAGCATTGGAAAATATTGTTTATTCTTTTGAGGACTGTGTCTCTGACTTACTGTTGGTTATCAGTCTATTATTTTGAAAAAATATGACAAGATTGAACAATGAACAGTATGGCAGTCTTTGCTCTCTCCCACTTAGAATTAATGCACAGTGGTCCTCTGAATGATTTGTGAATCCATCTTATGCATATTAATTTAGTAAGGCAGAACTATTCATCTGCAAAAACGTCACATTTATAATTGGCAATCTTTCTCCTTACGATGAAAAAAAACCCTCTCTGACTCCTCACTATATTTTATAGTGCACATCTAAGCATGCTGATCTCGTTGACAGTATCCATACCTTTCTATTGGACAGAATCAAGGTTGATATATGCATTCTAAAAATTAGAAGTCGATCCTTTATATGCGTAACTTCCTCCTCTTTGAAGTACGGAAACACTTCTGTGTTGTGCTACAGGGCTTGTGTTCCTGTGTATTTAAGAATATGTTAGAATTGATGAAAATGGTGTCTTGAAGAAAAATAAACATCGTACTATGTGTAGATCAGTTTCAGACCTTTAATAAACGATTTTATCATATTCAAAGAATCTTTAGTGTTGCTGATTCTGCATTTTGGAGTTTAGTATGACTTTGTCATGTGCTGTTTCCTTTATTTTTAATGTTTGTAACCATTTTTTCTGTGCCCATAGTTATTTACCTTTTCTTAGAAAAGTTACTCATGTAATGCATGAGATTCATGCGTACATATGTGTTTGTTTAATTATTACGTGCGACAGTGCTGCAGCATTTACCCAGAGTTTTATATTTCAATAACTCTTTTTGCAGGTTCCACCATTTCCAAAGTATATATCTTCAGCTGCTCAGAGAAATCTGAAAAACTATACTCAGGTACTTGTCTTCTACATATTAGTATATGTTTTGACATTTCATTATATCCATGTTAATTTTTTACTCTTTTCATATTGATATGTTCTAATGTTCTGTTGTATTGTTGTACTTGTTATATTATTGTTGTAATGTTATTTTCATTTACCCAGTTTAGATGCAAGCTGTATACTTTGAAATTATTAAATTTTTTTCTTTTCTTTTCATATATGTTCTAACTTCTAATGTTCTGTTGTATTATCGTTGTTGATGTTATACTATTATTGTTGTAATGTTATTTTCATTTTCTCGCTTTAGATGCAAACTATATCCACTGATAGTTCATTGGATTAATTACAGTCCGGTACCTTGTAGTGTAATTACGGTATAATGTAATTACACGGGTGATCTTGAGGTTTGGGTATTTGCACAAAGAACCTTGAGGTTGCTAACTTGTATCACCGCAACCCAAAATCTAATGGTTTCTTAACACTATTTGTTTTTGTACTAGCATGTCAACTAACACAGTATGGGAATTCATAAAATACCCTTTTTATACCCTGGTACCTTGTGGTATAATTTAATTGCACCCATGGCCCTGAGGTCTAAGTATCTATAAAGGTAGCCCTCATTAATCCTTCAAATTATTCTATAAAGAAATTAGTCCTCAAGTCTTCAATTATTCCGTCAAATCTTTGAAGTTCCTCATTAGTCCCTCAAATTATTTTATGAAAGGGTTATTAGATACTAGTCGCACAAATCTTCAGTAAAATTCCATATTAGTCCCTCAAATCTTAAGCAATTTCAAAGATTTGAGGGACTTATTTGGAATTACTGGAGATTTGTGGAACTAATTTCTAAGAACCCTTTTATAAAAGGGATTTGTTTCTTAATGGGTTAATTTGCGTATACACCCCTTAAATCATGGGTATTCTCAAAAATACCCCCAAATCTTAGTATTTCCAAAATTACCCTTCAAATCGTCAACTTTGTGGAAAAATACCCCTAGAATCAACAAATCATCAATATGGTGCTAAAATTTGACTTTTATTGATAATTTTTACATTGCAATTACAAATTAGCTTATCAAATTTGATGATTAATTGCTTTGAAGCTAAATTGTTCCAAAATTGCTGATTTGAGGGTTAGTTTTGCAAAGGTTGAGATTTGGAGAAAATTTGCAGAGGTGTATATGCAAATAACCCTTCTTAATATTTCATTCAACTTGTTTCAATCGCTGAACTTTGTATGGTCCCCTACATTCCACATAAGCAACTTGGATTAAATTCCGCCAAACGATGAGAAATTTGTGTTTGTATGAAAAGGAAAATTGTATTTGTCATGAAAGGGCATATTCGTCTTTTAATTTACGAAGTTAAGCTCCGTTAGCACTTTCACACTGGCCATCAGACTCAAGGTTACCCTTGTAGACACCCAAACCTTAGGGTCATCCATGTAGTTACATCATACTACATACCGGAATGTAATTAATCCTTGTTCATTATTCTATTTCTCCCTCTAATTCTGTGAGCAAAGGTCTGTACTATGGTTGAGGTATCTGAGATCTCAATATTTTCATCCTGGATTATAGGTGACTGTACAGTCATGATGCCATGATAATTATGCAATGGAAAGAAAATATCTTAATAGAAAAGAAAATATGCTATTAATTGGTGTGAGGAATTCTGCTTGCATGTGTTCATTTCTTTCTCATTTTTGTTAGTCCTTTGGGCTGTTAGGTGAGTATGTTTTCAGTTGAATTATAGCTCTTAACACAAACTTGATTTTTTCCCCCTAAATTGAACAGCCCTATGTTGATTTGGCAAGTTCATATGCCAGTGGGAAGGTCTCTGAACTTGAAACCTCTATTGAGGCAAATTTGGAGAAATTTCAATCTGTAAGCATTCAATCATCCTTTTCCCCTGCTATGTAATGTTTCTTAAGGTTTTGATGGTTATATAATACTCATGCTTCAAATCCCTAGAATATAATGATGTTTGATAATAGTAAAGATTTGCACAATGTGCCATTGTTGCTTTTTTTAGTTTGCTTTCTCTTTGCAGGGGTTCTAATCTCTTGCTATTATTGTTTTGATAGTCATGATATCATTATCTATATATTTTTGTAAATAATGGGTTATTTCTTATGGAATCACCACATCTGTTGAATTAAATATTTTTTTCACGAAATATGTTCTTACGAAAAATGATGTATTTCCATTGTAAATGATGGTTGCATTGGGTGAGCCATTATTGTATTATTTGAGTAGTTGTCACTTTGAATGAGGAGTTGACTATATCTATGAATGTAGAAATTTCTGTTAGGTCTTTTTTCTCTTTCTTTCTTTCGAAGTACTTTCTGAGGCATTTTTTTTCCTTCTCATAAATTACTTTCTGTCAGTCATTTTCCATCATAAAGGGGGAGAATTGGAATCTAACTGCGAAAGTGTTAGTAGGTAGCTTGGTTTTGAGGAGTTTCTCTTGAGCATGAAGTTATGAATTCAAAATAAAATTCTATTTTTAGTAGTGACAGACTCACCAATTTTGCAAAGGTTAGCCTGTCCAAGCATCTTAATCCTAACTGGACCGACCATTTATTGATTGGGTTAAGCAGGTCAGCCCGAGTCAGACCCACACCCTTATGATGGAACCATAAGCATGGTAATTTTGACTTGGCGGGCAAAGATTGCTGCACCTAATCTTGGGTTTCTTTAGTTGTCTTTGTTGTAATAAAGACGTCATGCTTGTCCTAGCCTTGGCTATTTCTTGGATGAAGTAGGTTTTGTTGGGTCATTACCCTTTGCAGAGGGGCGTAAAAATTGCTAACTCTTGTTTATATCTTCCATCATTTATATTGAATTTATTTCTTTGTTGGATTATTCTTGAATACCGGAAGAAGTGTAGAGACCTCTTAAATATTTTACATCTGTTGCTTGTGTTCACCTTTATCGAGTCTATTTCTTGCTTGCATCTGTTTTGGAACTATATATTGTTACCAAAAGGCTAGTTAAGAGTCCTTGACTTTTGGTAATTAGATTTTAGCTGCAGGCCTTGATCGCAACTCTATTGTTACCTTTTTTCTCTATTGTTCAGAGAATTAGAGGATTAATACTTTCCATGTGACATTTCATTTTGTTTTTATGACTATAGCCATTCTGATGTTCTCTCAGGATAACAATCTTGGGTTAGTGAAACAAGCACTGTCATCCCTCTACAAGCGCAACATTCAAAGACTAACCCAAACCTACTTGACCCTGTCACTTCAAGATATAGCCAGTACTGTGCAACTAAATACTGCTAAGGATGCTGAAATGCATGTGCTTCGGATGGTAAATTTTTTTTGTAATTTTTCCTATCACTTGTTGAACATATTCTTCCGGTTTAACAATTTTTACTGTATATAATTACCAGATTCAAGATGGGGAGATCTTTGCCACAATAAATCAAAAAGATGGAATGGTCAGTTTTCATGAGGATCCTGAACAATATAAAAGTTGTGAGATGATAGAGCACATTGACTCATCTATCCAGAGGTAACTCTGCTACTGAACTTCTGTTAGTTTCTGCTAGTTTCATGTTCTTGAATGTGCTTGTGGTCATTGTCCACATATAGGTCAGATAACATGCTGCCGTGTATGTATAATTTCTTTCATTTATTTGTATCAGGTAATGAAAATATTGTTGCTGCACTATGAAATGTAAATCTATGCATATCTTACATATACATGAAAAGCTTGGATCACCTATTAATCTAGTAACCTTTTACCAATGAGTTATTTGGGGAAACTTTAAAAAAACTGTGTTTTTTCTATGGTTCAAGAAGATATCCATCTAGCTTCTTTAGGCTTTTATATCATACTTAGATCAGCTTTAGATAATATCAATGATGGATTGCTAACTATTTGTTCTGTATCCTTCTTTTGGCTCATACTTGATAATAATTTTTCAATGACATTAATCGACGCATTCACGGCTGGACTCTTGGACTGTTGGTTTAAATTTGACTATCTGTATTTCACCTGTACAACTAGCAAGCATTATTCGTAACAATTAAGAGGTGTTTAGATGTTAATAAAATAGTTTTGCTCTTTATAACATGAATATATAATTTTAGTTTTTTGATTTTACAATTTTAGAGAATTAGGTATGCAAATAGAGTTGATTAATCTGATCTAAATGCATTTCTGATTTCCCTATCGCTTAGAGAGGGATACCTTTTTTATATCCACTTGGATTTGGATCTGAATCTTGCAATGGGCAATTTTTTATTAGATGCAGGTTCAATGTTTAAATTAGGTCAGTTGAGTTCCAGTGTCATAACCTAAAACATGTATGTATATCTTTGTTGACTGCTTGCAACCAATAATTTTAATACCTAACTCGTGCTAATCCTAATAGATAGGTTCCTTCAAGTGTACTACTCCCTTCTGCTTCTCAAGAGACAGGAACAATAGAACCGTCTGCAGAAAAGGAACCTTTTATCCATTTTCTATTCACTTTTACCAGATATGACCATTCTCTGTACCAACATTTGTTTACTTAAATACTTCTTACATTCTTTTTCTCGTTATTAATCCCGAGCTTGGGGATTTTCACTAGTCTGTGCATGGATGGAATTTCTCCGACTATAATTCTTTGCACACTTCATAATCATTTAATCAGACGCGAAGCGGATATTTCACGTTACTGTGTGATCGGTAGCTTGCAACTATGATATAAAAGCGATACAACTGTAATATTAAAGTAGCAGTACTATCTCCACAATTGAATGATGTGGTTTAGGCACCCAACTGTACATATAATCCAATACAGACTGCTGTTTCCTCATTGCGAGCGACCCCAATAAGATCTTCGAATGACTGCAAAAATGGAGTTTTTTTGTACGTAATTTGCATGACAGGAGTGAAGGTTTTGTTCAATCTCATCAATGACAATAGCCTTTTTCGTTTTGATGGTTTGGGATCCCAAAAATTTTACTTTTGTTTCTCTTTCCTTTTTACCCTTCAGACTGATGACATTGTCAAAGAAGCTGCATACAATAGATGAACAAATCTCTTGTGATCCTGCATATCTGCACAAGGTATGCAGCTCTGCTGCGCTTGGACAAGTTCTTTTTACATTAATTGTTTCCTTCTAGCTCAGCTCACTAGTGTGATCTCTTTGATCTCAGCTTGGCAGAGAGAGGCCCAGATATGACTTTGACGACTTTGATTCTGTGCCTCACAAGTACATGTGAGATTCCGAGGCTTGACAGCAACAACATGAATAGAGATGCCCTTATAAGTTTTGCTCCCATTTGGATCATGTTTTTGGGGAAAATGATTGAACTATTTACTATATCTACAGAATATATCCAGCATCTTGGCTATGTTATGAACATGGTCGCTATTTTGATATAGTTATTCTCTTCCAGAAGTTGATGTTCGCAGTTCGTTCATTATTATGGCACTTGGATCCTGTTTTGGCTTGTGTTTTTCTATGATGCATCGTGAGAGACGGATTTTGCTTTCGCTGTCATGAAATTGTGCTTGCTATTGCCACTGGAAATATTTGACATTTTAGGAATGTAAATTTGATTCCTATCTTTATACACAATAGTCTGTACTTATCCATATATGGGTAGTAAAATTATCTAAGAGTATGGTCCCGGATCCGATTTTTGATTAGATTGTTTCTATTCTTTTTTTTTTAACAGAAACCATCCCTATACGGTAGCGTCCGGTATCCGTCGCAGGCTTTTATGCCATATTGAGATGTTAGATCCGGGACCACGTTTTTAGATATTAGGTCTGAAATTCAACCAGTTGTTTGTTTGGTTGCACATAAATTTTGTTAAGGATATCAAGAGAGAATCCGAAATAAATGTTATTTTTACGAAGCATGTTTGATACATCTCCAATGTGATAAAGTATCTGATAAAAATCCAGGATTTTGACCTTGCCTCCCATTTTTTCAGTGCAAAGCTGTTAAATCCTCACTGAAATCACGAAAACCAGTAGCTTGGTATATATTGTCACCATTAAACTAAAATAAGAGGAAAGAGCAACTATATTAACTACCGCGCATCATACTTTATTGCCAGCGTTACAAACAAGATACTCTGCAAACCTCTTCACATAATCATCATGAAGAGCTTGATCGCCAACCATAGCTCCCATTTCCCTTGCTTTTGCTCTTAGCGCCTCCCCCTCATCAGAGACCATCGCTACCCTCAAACACTTGGCAATCTCGTCTCTACTGAAAGATCCGTCCTCGTTCCTCCCGACCTCAATCCCTACTCCCTTCTCCGCGAGGAACCTAGCGTTCAAACCCTGGTCGAATATGAGCGGCATGAGCACGGGCACGTGCCCGTGCCTGAGCGACTCCACGATCGAGCCCAGCCCACAGTGGAATAGCGACCCGCCGATGGATTCATGGGCCAAGATCTCCAACTGCGGGGCCCAGCCCACTTCAACTATCCCCCGCCCATTTATCCGATCCGTAAAGCCTTCGGGCAGGGCTTCGCTGATTTCGCCGGTGAGCCAGCTGGGCCTCCTTAAGGCCCACAAGAAAGGGACGTTAGATATTTCCAGCCCATGGGCTATCTCATGGACCTCACGTGGGCTGAATTTGTACTCACTCCCAAAACTGACAAACACGACCGATCGGACCTTCTGTTTATCTAACCAACTGAAAGTTTCCCTCCACCCTCCCTCCTTGTCTTCTAAATCATCCGTCGGCGATGGCGGCAGGAGCCCGACGGGAATAACCGGCTTCTTGTAAAACCCCTCAAGCAACTCCAAATACTCTCCTTCATACTCATGACAACTCCTTATCGCAACCGCGTCAGAACCCTCGACGCTGAGCTTCAGC